GGTGCATACGCTAATGCAATAGACTGCGCACGCCTATGAGAATGGAGAATTTGGACGTGATTGCCAGAGAAAATTAAAGGAAATTGCAGCTACTGGTAAAATGTAAAGGGAATGAGGAGGCAATTAAAATCTCAAACAGTTATAAAATTAGAAGGAGCCTAGCTGTGTAGGAGGAGGGACAGGTGGATGTGCAGTGCTTAGTGGAAATGAAGAATCTCAGCATTGCTGTTACTTGGGTTTACGGATTAAGGCCTAAGTAACAGGGTTTATATGAAGACATTTATTTTTAGCATATATCAGATATATGAAGGTATTTACAGTGAGAATCGGGAGAGGGGGGTTGGATGGAGCAAACATTTTTGTGTATAATTGAAAAGTTTACCAACTAGATTTTATCAGCCAAAATATTGATAACTACATGTATATGGAATATTGGTGGAATATAGTCACTGAAATTATCTTTAACTTCATGTACAGAAAATTGCTGTGATAAACTACAGGTTTAAGTAGTAACATTGTTATAGTAACAAATTATAATATGGTGATAGAGGGTTGAGTATCTTCCATATTTCAGTCAGTACCTGAAAGTTGCAGGGAATTGAAGATTCTTAGTATTATTGTTATCTCAATTGTGGATTGAGTTGTTGGTCTGCTTCGGTCTCAACGTTACACCTCATATCCATTCTGTTTCCAATGCTAATTTCACTTTATTAGCATTGCTCGTATCCATACCTAACAACACTTCAAATGGACAAAGAGGGACATTTTCATTTTAGGGGTGTGAGTGTTGGTGCGGCCAAGGGTTGGGCTGTTCCAAGTAATTTTAGGTGACAATAATAAAAATATATTTAACTAAAATGTAATTTAGAACAAGGATATATCTTATTTACACTGATTTAGACTGATTTCTAAACACATTTATTGAAGTTTAACCCCTTAAGGACCAAACTTCTGGAATAAAAGGGAATCATGACATGTCACACATGTCATGTGTCCTTAAGGGGTTAAAGACATGGTATAGGGAGTTTCAATGCTGTGGAGCTCTGTTATATACTTAGACATACTAACAGTATGGAGCTACTAGAAGAGAAAGACACAGTGATTGAAAAAGAGACAAAGGGATTTGGGCCCAAAATAGGGAATGTCGCTCCTAAATAGGGACAGTAGCATTAATTTCTATAATTCTCTCCAGAAGCCAAACTGTTCTTCTACAGTTATAAATATGAGTGCTGCTGCTAGACTTATTTTTCATTTGTCACTCTTTTTACACATCACCCATCTGTCAATTGTAACATTGGCTTCCTGTACCCTGTAGGATTCAGTTAAAAAATTAAAAATATTAAAGGAGCAATGATGATACCAACAGCTCAACATGTCAATGAAGTGGTCTTGGTGCAGTGGTTCTGTTGGTTTAACCCGATAACGTAAAAGCTGTTTTGTAGAAAAAACACCATGTTGACATTGAAGAGTTCAATATACCTCTAGTGGCTGTCTTTCGGCAGCCACTAAAAGCGCTTCCTCCAGAACCAAGTCAGACTTGGCTCTTCAACCATTTTGCAGTGCATGTGTATCTCACTCTTAATGCTTCTCTATAAGAAACCTTAGATTTGACTAGATTGCCGCAGAGTTAGCAGTCATGCTGATGGAGGCAGAGCAGGTGGCTGCCGTAGAGGTGTGTGCCGGAAGTAATCTTAATTAAAACTTAACTTTTTAAGCACCAGGGGGTTGTTTAAAGAGATCACAGCAACAGAAGAGAATGTATTGTCCCTCCCCAAAAATGTTTTTTTTAAGGACTATAGGTTCCCTTTAACTCTTACCCACAATGCTATCAAGAATTCTACATTTCTTCAATAATACATAGATATAACCCTTATTGGCCACTCTGCTTGCCAGTGACCTTCTCTTGTCCTTTGTTCGTACGTGTACTGCTTACAAAACTTCTCGTGGGCAGCTCCATTTCCATGGAACAGCCTGCCTTGTCCCATCAGACTCTCTCCTAATCTCCAATCCTTTAAAAAGTCCCTTAAACCCATCTCTTTAGATGAGTCTATAACCTCTCGGGGCTGCCATTCTTCAAACCTATCTCTTACTCAAAGTGGGTACAATTACAATAATTTATATACTGCAGCCCTGTACAATAGGTAAAACAAAACAAACAATTCTAAAAAATAAGCTTGACATACGGTAACAGTAGATGAACAAAGCCCTACTCAAACAAGCTTACAATCTAAAAGGTTGAGGGACAAATACACAGAGAGCAGTGAGGAAATCAAATGATCTTGATACACCTGAAAGGATGAGAGGGGTGTTTGGGAGGCGGGAGTACAGCAGGAGGAGCATGGCTGTACTTGTGAGTCTCTAATCCATTGCTTCTCTCTGAGGCGGAGCTGCAGGCTGCAACAGAGGAGTGTCGGCATTGGATAGGAAGTCACTAATCTCTATTATTTTTTTTATTATCTCACAAAAGTGAGTACACCCCTCACATTTTTGTAAATATTTTATTATATCTTTTCATGTGAAAACACTGAAGAAATTACATTCTGCTACAATGTAAAGTTGTAAGTGTACAGCCTGCATAACAATGTAAATTAAATTTGCTGTCCCCTCAAAATAACTCAACATACAGCCATTAATGTCTAAACCGTTGGCAACAAAAGTGAGTACACCCCTTTACCTTCAGCTTCTTTAGCAAGGCAGTGGTCATCTTTGAGGTGTGTTTGGGGATCATACTCTGCTTCAGTATGTCACAGTACATGTTCACATTCATGGTTCAATGAAAGGTAGTGCCGGCAGCACTTATGCAGGCCCAGACCATAACACTCCCACCACCATGCTTGACTGTAGGCAAGAAACACTTGTCTTTGTACTCCTCACCTGGTTGCCGCCACACACGCTTGACACCATCTGAACCAAATAAGTTGTTCTTGGTCTCATCGGACCACAGGACGTGGTTCCAGTAATCCATGTCCTTAGTCTGCTTGTCTTCAGCATACTGTTTGCGGCCTTCCTTGTGCACCATCTTTAGAAAAGGCTTCCTTCTGGGATGACAGCCATGCACACCAATTTGATGCAGTGTGCATCGTATGGTCTGAGCACTGACAGGATGACCCCCCACACCTTCAACCTCTGCAGCAATGCTGGCAGCACTCATACGTCTCTTTCCCAAAGACAACCTCTGGATATGACGCTGAGCATGTGCACTCAACTTCTTTGGATGACCATGGCAAGGCCTGTTCTGAGTGGAACCTGTCCTGAGAAATCGCTGTATGGTCTTGCCCGCTGTGCTGCAGCTCAGTTTCAGAGTCTTGGCAATCTTCATATAGCCTAGGCCATCTTTATGTAGAGCAACAATTCTTTTTTTCTTTGCCATGAGGTGCCATGTTGAACTTCCAGTGACCAGTATGAGATCGATAACACCAAATTTAACACATCTGCTCCCTATTCACACCTGAGACCTTGTAACACTAACAAGTCACATGACACCGGGGAGGGAAAATGGCTAACTGGGCCCAATTTGGACATTTCCACTTAGGGGTGTATTCACTTTTGTTACCAACGGTTTAGACATTAATGGCTGTGTGTTGAGTTATTTTGAGGGGACGGCAAATTTATGTTATACAGGATGTACACTTACTACTTTACATTGTAGCAGAGTGTCATTTCTTCAGTGTTGTCACGTGAAAAGATATAAAATATTTACAAAAATGTGAGGGGTGTACTCACTTCTGTGAGACACTGTATATATATATATATATATACATATATATATAATTTTTATTTTATTTATTTTTTGCTAGCTGTTTATTACATATTATATGTGCTGTATGTAAATGAGATGCTGTATCTGTGTGACTGTGTATTTGCATGTGTGTCAGTGTGTTAGTGTATCTGTGTGTGCGTGTGTCTGTGTATCAGTGTATACACCACACACAAATGCACGCCTTCATTCAAACACCAACATTCACATACACACAAACTACATACAAAAACATGCTTACATTCAAATACACATACACTATTCAGTGCTAAACTCAATCCTGCAAGGATGGGCAAATTGTAGATCCCTAGCTGGAAAAGCATTCTGGGACTTGTACGACAGATGGGGATTTACATTTTGGCCACTTTAAACACACTGCGTCCACAACATAAACATACTGCATTCACTACACACACGCTTTGCATCCACTCTACACAAACACTGCATCCTTGTGGGCAGCTCTTGGGGCAGACCACGTGGGCTGACTTAGGGGCGGGCTCCAGTGGCAGAATCGGGGGCAGGCCACGTGGGCTGACTTAGGGGCGGGCTCCAGTGGCAGAATCGGGGGCAGGCCCCAGAACTTGAGCTTTGTCAGGGGCCACAAAATTTCTAATGGCAGTATGTGTAGCTGTGTGTTTGTGTATTTTCATAGATACATGCAGATACACAGACACACATGCAGAAACACAGATACAAACACTGAAACACATACAGATACAAAAAGGGAAAAGAGGGCTGCACTCAATCATAAAAATCAGAGGGTGCTGACTGAGTATGGGTCAGCATTCCCCATAAAACAGGTATAAAAGAAAAAATCTCAGGTACTCAATACGTTAAGCAGGTTTATTGGACACTGCAACATTTTGACCTGTACCCAGGTCTTTATCAAGCTTGATCAGATCCATATACACAGAGACCCTGTCAGTTTCCTGAGGATCAGGATTCAGGAGAAGCATTTTCAATTCAGGGGCATACCCTTTGGATTGAGCCTGGCTCCAAGATTCTGGTTACTTTGATCACCTTCATAAGAAAAAAAAGACATAGGGATATTCCACTACTTGCACGATATCATTATAATCCACCACCTCTAAGGTAAGAGGCTTGCAGTCATTGCTAAGCCCGATAATGAAGAGGACCTGCGAATATGATTTGTATAAGGCCTATCACTTGAGCCATATGTTTGAGAGAGAGCTGGGCGAGAGTGCGTCTGATTTCCTTTGATATCTGAAGTTGAAGAGAAATTCTAGGCATTGTTATGGCACCAAGAGGGATGTTTTCTCAACTGATAAGGAAACCCAGATTGTGTAGTAAGGTTAATGTCCAATATAGTGTCTGGAGAAGGTGAACTGACAGAATTAGAATATCGTCCAGGTAAATAAGATGAACACCCCAACTTCTCAGTAGAATTACTAAAGGTTTGGTGAAACACCAAGGGGCTGATGATAGTCCAAATGGGAGACACTTGAACTTCCATTTCTGTGTTTGCCATGGAAATTGAAGGAAATCTGGATGGTGATCCATGATAGGGACTGTGAGGTAGGTGTCCTGCAGGTCCAATTTGGCCATCGAATCTGACAGAGTAAATCGCGTAGACAATGTACATTTTCCATCTTGATGGTAAGAAACAAAAGCGGTCAACTGTTTTAGATTTCTCACTTGTCTGACACCTCCACTTTTTTGGGGACCAGGAAGAAATTGCTGATTGTGTCAAATTTTGATCTGGATGAGTTGCTTTATCCACACACTCTGGAGTAGAAATATCTTTGATGGCATGTTTACACATCAGCTCTTGAATCTCCCTGGAAACAAGGTCTGCATTTAGTTGGGGGAAAAAAATCTACCTGGGAGGAGAAGTTTGGAAAGGCTCAGAAGGGCACCATTCCGGAGAGAGTGGATAAAGCAACTAATCCGGATCAAAATTGATACGTTGACAACTGAAAAGTCGGCAGAGCCAACTATTGGGCCTGCAGAAGGGCCTGAGTGAATGTCTGTGATAGTGTTATAGTGTTATTGACATAACACTCATCACAGAAACAAGGCCTACGTCATGGACTTGGACATAGAGGCATCAAAAAGTGTTTGCATATCAGCAGAGACTAAGAAATCATGAAAGATAAAGTTTCAACAGCAGAGGTTCCATGGGGAAACCCCAAGGTAACCTGGGCAGTCATATTAGACCCAGAGGTGCAAAGGCATATCTCTTGTCAGTCTTCATAATAATGCAAGTATTGTGTATAGTAAGGCTGGAAATAAAACAATTGGCACACTAAATAAATCTAAAGGCTAAGGTTGAGTAACCCAGACAAATACTCACAGGAGCAGAATACAAAATCAATAGGCAGAGGAAACTAATAGCCATCTGGCCGTCAAAAACACTAAACCCCAGAGTTCACAGGCTCTAAGAGGCAAGGCTATAAAAAAGAAAAATCGGCGAACGACCATTCACAGTCTGATCTGCACTGTGAGGCTGGCTGCACCAAATTGCAAAGGCAATTCGCAACATTAATGGCTCCGAATGAAAAATAATTTCAATGCCGAATAGCAAATGTTCGATCGCGAACATGCAAGAAAATAGTAGCGAAAGGAAACGCATTTGGGGTCCGAGCACAAAAGTCCACACTGCGAATGAATGTAGAAACTGACAGAACGCAAACGTGCATCCGATTTGGAGTGAAAAAAAGAATAGACAAGGGGAAAAGAAATTGAGATAGCGCAAATACTGGGGGAATTTACCCAAAGCCGTCCCTGAGCCCTATGAAAAGAATAGAGGACCATGGAGGTCAAAGTAAGACATCTCAAAAATCAACAGTAATAATACACTTTATAAAGTAATTTAACAAATAAGAACAAAACAATTATATATGGGTAATAACCATGGGATCAGGTTGTGCCTAACTGAGGGAGCAGCAAATAAAGAGGAAGTGGTTATGTTGTGGAGAGGATGCAAATTGGCTGTTCGTGTTGCTAGGAGGATCCGCCTGTTATGGTTTTTACTTGTTGTTATACTGATTTTAATGTTTATTGTTATTTTTTATTTTTTTCCTGGTGAGGGAGATAAAGAAAGAGTTTAGCATAATAGGAGCCTCTGTGTCTTAATAAAATTAGTATTCTTCTGATTGGGAAAGTCAGCACTAAAGGTTTAGAAACAGAACTAGAGAGACTCGGAATATTTCAATGAACTGCTAAATAGTAAGACAGCATTAAGACAGTTTGTAAATTAAAATAGAGGCTAGAAAAACAAAAGAACTGGGGTAGAGCCTGTCCTAGGTACACTAAGAGGTGTGTGTGTGTGGAGGGGGTAACCCCAAATACAAACTAAAGAACAAAAGGAGTGTACCAGAGAGGGACTGGGATGAATAAAATACTAGGAGTAGATACCAGAATACCACAAGGTACTTCCAGACTAGGAACTAGATGAACAAAAAATAAATTCTTTATTGGTAGTAAAACCAATAATGCAAAAGAATAGTGCTTGTGTACTAAGTGATAGGACAACAGCCCTAGCTAAGGATACCAAAACCACTTGTAGTAGAAAAGTATAAAGCTAATAAAAGTAGCTCAAATAGGCTAGCTCAATAGGTATATTTACAGATAGTATCAAAGAGGCATCAGATCACTGGACTGATATAGCTATTAAGCAGGGTTGGGCCGCACAACAAGAGTAACGAAATAGTGGGAGACTGTTAGATATTGCTGATAGTAAGATAGTCAGGGATGTAAAACCCACTATACTACTAGGATTACTGGTGTGTTATAGTAATGTTAATGTATCTAATATGGTGGGATAGCAGATAAGACTGGGTGCAATCTCAGGCAGATTGACAGAATAGCTGAAGCTCTACATATGACAGTGTCAGGAATAGTTCTAGCTGTAGTGTTAGGACACAAGAGGTAAAAAGTCAAGCCTCACGATATACTGGATTGTAGTGGCTATAATATCAAGAAGAGGAGCTCTGCTTAGATATAATACTTAAGTAGCAACCCACCAAGCACTTGCTAGTTCTAAGCTGAAATCCACCCGTGCCTTCGAGGGCAACTGCAGCTAAACCCGCTTAGCTAAGGAATCTAATGCTCACACCAAATAGTGAAGGTGCTAAAAAAATAATCAGTAAAAATAAAAAAAGAGATTAAGTAATATATTATATAAACAAAGTACGGTAGCAAGTCCATGTGTTATTTTAGATCATGAAAATAGCACGGATATGACACCATTAGTACACAAGCACTATTCTTTTGCATTATTGTTTTTACTACCAATAAAGAATTTATTTTTTGTTCATCTAGTTCTTAGTCTGGAAGTACCTTGCGGTATTCTGGTATCTACTCCTAGTATTTTATTCATTAAAATAGAGGCTGCATCAAAAACACATTCTGCTTTGTACATTGTTGACTGTTTCTACATGTACAACTATGAAAATGTATCCATAATTAAAAAATGGAAAAAATAAATACATTCCACCATTATGAACCTGTCTCAGTTATAGCAAGACACTACAAGCTTTCAGTGTGAGGAACCACGTAAGGGTACATAACTACTTCCAGGTCAGGGGTACACAGGAAGTATACGGCAATATAGTATTTGCATAAAAACTCCAAACAGAACCGATATATCAATATTAACTATTCCACTACTTATTTTCCAAAGTGACTTTGCTTTTTTTATTTATATCATTAACAGTGTTACATAAACTGGCACTTTAAAATAAATGCTTGCCTCTGATTATTTTTGCCATTACAATAAAAAATAAATAAAAATGATTACACAGGAAGCAAATAAAAATTGCAATCAATTGTGTGTTTAGTTCATTATAAGGTCACCTCAAAATTCTACATTCTAAAACTAAAGTGAGAATTCAAAGAGAATTGAAAACGTACGGCCAAAATAATTGAAATGGAACAATTATCTGAATCAGCTATACTTCAAGTTCAGCTACTAACATTTTAAATTCACCCTAAATTCTCACACTTTAATGAATAACCCTTTGTATGTGCTACACACAAATGTTATCTAAAATAGCTATAAGGGTGGTACTGTGTTAATAAGCACAATATAAGTCATACTCTCACCCTGCCTAGACTGAAGGCACATGATAGATGTGCTGTAAATATATATCAGGTACCTACATATAATATCAGATACTCCTATAGACTGTAAGCTCGTTTGAGCAGGGTCCTCTTCAACCTTTGCTCCTGTAAGTTATCTTGCACTTGTCCTATTTATAGTTACTTCCCGGCTCTCACAATATTCTAAAGCGCTACGGAATCTGTTGGCACTATATAAAAGGCAATAATAATAATATACCATGATATATGTCCTGATCATTCAACATGGCAGCATTTACTCATGGGTTAGCTCCTCCCCTCACAGCAGAAAGGACAGGAAACAGAATTCTGAAACTGGTATAAATAGATCCTCCCCCTACCCATCTGGCAGCCTATTTTCCTGTCCATCAAGGCAGTGATAATTCTGTCTTTAATAAATACATACTTCCAGAGAATGGTGGGATTTTCAGTTTAATTTCTCCTCCGTTTGATAGAAAGGTATGACTTTTCATTCAGCAGTGTCTGGAGTTTCAGGACTTGTTCCAGCCCGGTGTCTGGAAGTTATGCCTTTGAGAAGGCTCTGATTTGAAAGAGCCATCCATTGAATATTTTCTCTATATTAGAAAAGGCCAATCGTTTCTGTTTTTGCCAAAATAAGTTTATAATTTATAGGCCAGGTCTTTGTTTTAAGGAGATTCTCCAATCTATTTCATTATTCTACAGAGCAAGACAGACACAAGATGAGTGTCTCATTTCTTACAGGAGTTTCCCCAATATTAATCTAGACTTTCCCATTTTATAGGTTTGTTATCATGACGTTAAATCGCTACATTATTTGCTGGCGCTATATAAATAATAAAACCATAAATCAACACTATTGGGTCAGGAAAACACCCTGACTATAGTGTGTTAAACTATGTCTGATCAGGAATAAGGAAAAAAAAAAAATTCATACTTACCGTAATTTTCTTTTACTGGTCATTATACATGGCAACATTACGTTCCCACCAATTTATTATGAGAGTTGTGCAGCTAGTTACAAAGACTGCCTGATGGGAAGGGGGAGGATCTATTTATACCAGTTTCAGAGTTCTATTTCCTGTTCTTTCTGCTGTGAGGGGAGGAGCCAATACACGAGTAAATGCTGCCATGTAGAATGATCAGGAAAACAAAAATTACGGTAAGTATGAAAATATATAATTTTTTTTATATTTTTTTTAAGACTTGACATTTCTGATAATTAGTAAAGTTTACATTTGTGTGAGAACACCCCTCTAGTGGATATCAGTTAATCAGCCAGTAGAGACACTTCCGAATTAAAACCTTTGATTTTATTAAGACACGGAGACTCCTATTATTCTGCACTCTTTCTTTATTTCCCTCAGCAGCAAAGAAAAAACTTTATAAACATAACCAATAGTAACATTAACAGTCTCAGGTGTAATCTTCCTAGTAACAGGAACAGCCAATCAGGATCCACTTCTCCAGCATAATAGGCTCTGTCAACCAATCCTGTTCCTCTTTCTTTGCTGCTCCCTCAGTTAAGTATATCTGATCCCTCAGGCTCCTTAACTGTGGGATTAGTTTTATATTGAATTACTTTATATTGAATTACTTTTATATTGTATTAATATTATATTGTATTAATTTCCTAGCATTCATTTCATAGTATTAATTTTATAGTATTAATTTTCTAGTGTTAATTTTTTTATATGTGTTACTTTATTACTTTTTACTTGG